CATGTTCAGCTAAGGGAATCTTCATTGACTCGTAACACACGGAGAAAAAAAGTTCGGGGATTTGCGCCGACCGGTTCGGTCCATGTGAGCTGTAGAAAGCATGGATTTACATGTAAAACGCGGCTCAAGTGGAAATTGAGATACGCCCTAACGTCGCACAGTGGATCGAGTCAATAGGAGAGGTCGAACAAAATTTGGAAACTTTAAAAGCTTACAACTCCGTTCACACCAACTTTTGAGGTTCTAAAAGTGGTTCCATTGGTTTCCTCGTAAAATTTTCTCTGAGGAGCATCTCTTGAATTTTAAAATGTGACGAAATATATATCAAAATTTACAGTTAAATCGAAAATTTCATGTCCGATCTCTGTAACTGACTCTATCCATTGTGTGTCGGAGGGACGACGAGATGACGCCATTGCTGTGGTTCGATTCTTGTGATGGTGTTATTGAAATCGGTATAGATTTCTTGCATTCTTCGACCACAGACAAATTTTTAGAAAATACTGTGGCAGTTTTTCCCAACTCGTAGCTTGTTTTTTGCGCCGCTTAAAGTAGAGATTTAAAACTGGAACGGAAGAATTTCCACGCCCGAAAATCGAACATATCCGTCATTATACCAAATGAATCGCTGATTTAGGAGTCAAATTTTATCCACGGAATTCGTGTGTTCATTCACAGGATTTAACGCTGTTCACTCATTGTACACCTTTATCCGCTGACCTTTTTATTGAGGATTTGTTCTCTCATTTTTTCAATGGCAAAATTTTCCTCAATTGCGTAACCGTCCAGTCCAGTCCAATGAGTCGTTGCGTGCTTTGGCCTTCAAACCATTTGCCCAGCTTTTCATACAGCTTAGTAAGGTACTTAAAATCACACCTGTTGAAGAAGTGGTTTTTGCTTCAGCACTTTTGAACTCCTCCGATCAAGAGACTGTTTCATGATTCTAAATTTGTCAAGTTAAAATTACCGAACTTGTTGCGATCCTACATCAACTCAGCCGACTCAAAGCGCATCTCAGGGGACGGTGGATTGAGTGACGCGCCTCCGAAAGCGCTTCATCTTATACTGAGCAACCTATTTTCCACTCCCGACGATACCGCGGTGGTGACACCTATGGTTTCTTCCATCTTGATTTTATCAATCAGTGAGATACACGTTTACAATAGTTACTTAACGGATGAAACAAGGGTGCGGGAAAATCCAAGGGTGTCACTACCGCGGAGGATGGCAAAATGAACCGATTTTTTCGAAGCCCAGTATGTTGATTAAGTCAGTAGCACCAAGCCTAACAGCTCTAAGGTCTAGCCCTGCCACCGGTGGTTAGCGCTTTTTTACCTAAAGTTCGCGGGCTCAGCGCTAAGTTTTTTTCCCGTGTCTGAGGATCCGGTAAAGGAAGGTCAAACCCCCCCCCCCCCCCCCNCATAAGAAAAAAAACACATTGGATCTAGAGTCCAGACTCTTGAAAACATTGTCATGAAAAAATACCCTTGATTCAATCAGAATCTAGCTTAAATCAAGAACCAAGCCTCTTAATTTGCGCGGATTTCGTTTTGATTCAAGCAAAAATCAGATTCAAGAGTATTTTTTCTTGTCAATGTTTTCAAGAATCTGGACTCTAGATCCAATGTGTTTTTTTCCCCAGTGTTTGACAGTTACTGCTCTCTTGGCTATCACGGCAGAACTCGCAACGCAGCGTCTGCCTTTGATGGGAGTTCTCGGGTGGTGCGGAGTGTAAGAGGCAGAATTAACGACCCTATTAAGAGTACGCTAACGTTTGCCAGTGCCGAGTTCTGCGCCCGCGTCTCCATCCTACAGCCGCTCGGCCCGATCTGAATCCCAGGCCCAACGCCGAACGTGCTATTAGGGCAATTGCTTTCCAACTCGCTCAACTTTTACCCGCTTCCGCCGCCTGCCGCGCCGAACACACATGAGAGTTGTTGGGCTCATGTTGAAACTCAGCATCTTCACTCGCCTATGAGCCTCCAAATCCTTAAGGTGATTCGATGGATGCCATATTTTGTGTCAGAACGGCATGCGATATATCTCATCAGTTGGTTCCATTTTTTCAGCTACTCGTCATTTTTCTCCAATTTTGAGATCGCAATTCTGTTGTCAGGAGACTAAAGCACTCACTCATCAATTTTAACAAAGAAATGCAACGTAAGAAAGGCGTGGTTTTTTTTAGAGAGAAAACATCGCATTCGATGCTGATACCGGAACTGTACTCGAATGCGGTATTTTCTCTCTAAGAAAAACCACGCCTTTATTACGTTGAATTTCTTTGTTAAAATTGGTAAGTGAGTGCTTTAGTCTCCTGACAACAGTATTGCGATCTCAAAGTTGGAGCAAAATGACGAGTAGCTGAAAAAATGGAACCAATTGATGCGACTTATCGCATGCCGTTCTGACACAAAATATGGCGTCCATCGAATCACCTTAAGAGCACTCTTATTCTAGAGTTCTTCGGGTAACCACGAAACGGGTCCCATAATGTATGCGGATTCCGTCGCCGAAGAATAAACCTTTGAAATGCCCATTCAACAGATATCCACTGCTGAGAGCTCTCACGCACGGAACAATATTCTGCCCTCAAAAACGCCGTAACTCCATTCCAAATTTTATATTTTTCCTCAACACACACTGCTCTATTACAAGAAATCCCAAGAACCACTAGGCTCTATTTTTTTCATTTCGAGTTTCTGACGGTATGCCGGAATTGACTCGAAAAAAAAGGATGTATATTTGTTAGTTTTTTTGTAGTACAGCATTTTCCTGGAAGAAACAATTGAACGAATGTTAAATAAAGATACGGCTTTTATACTTTGGACGGCAGTATTGGTGTTCTGCCCGCGCTACATTGATTAAAATTGTCGGAATAAACAAATCGTGATCGGAGTGGGCTCATAATCCCATTTCACGATCAAATTGGGTCCGGGGAGTTGAACCCTTAAATGCCCAGGCCGGGCCGAATGGGCCACTAGACAAGGTCTTGTAGTAGAAGAAACGCCACATGTTTTCTCTTCAAAATCTTACGAAGAAAACCTTTCACACAACGACAAGTTTTGAATTCAACTCCTAAACAAGAGATTAACAAGTCTTTTAAACGCTAATCAAATGGAAGTTCGATCGTCCAAATGACGTCATTTGAATCACTAAATACAAAAAGGGCACATGTCCAGAAATCCAAATTCTTCAGGAGTTACAAAAAACTGTTTATATCGTGGTAGACATTTTCTGGAAAGTCGTTATGTTTAAAAAAACCGACGCGGGGCGAAGCGGAGCGCCGGTTTTTTTAAACAATCCGACTTTCCAAAAAATATCTATCACGAAATAAACAGTTTTTTGTGTCTCCTGAACAATTTGGTTTTCTGGACATGTGCCCTTTTTGTATTTAGTGATTCATCTGTAGTTTTGCCATGAAACCAATGTTAATGGAAAACGCTCATATTTTGTTCCGGAATTGATTTTGAGACTTGCCTTTTTGTGATTCCTTTTTCTTGCGGAAATTTGTGGAGAAAAAATGTATAGGGTTGTGCTTGCATTCAATTCTTGTCTAGATGTCCATTGACCTAGGCTTGCTGAAGACACGTGTCCCGCAGGTTGTATTACGGCCGGTACATACGAACTTTGCACTGGAAAAAAAAAACACATTGGATCTATAGCCCAGACTCTTGAAAACATTGACAAGAAAAAGGACTCTTGATTCAATCAAATTTAAGCTCAAATCAAGAACCAAGCCTCTTAATTTGAGCGGATTTCCTTCTGATTTAAGATTAAATCTGATCGAATCCAGAGTCCTTTTTCTTGTCAATGTTTTCAAGAGTCTGGACTCTCGATCCAATGTGTTTTTTTTCCAGTGTGGATGTAGGTTTACAAACAATTCTTAAAATAAGGAATTAAAGTCAAATGAAAGAAAAGAAATACATCGAGTTTCCTTTTCACCCAGGATAGGACTAGGAGAGACGTATTCGGGCCTCGTTTGTTAACGTTTCTCCCGAATCTGAGCGACATACCGTACTGGAAGCATGGAGCGGAGCATTACGAGTTTGCGCCTCGTGCCTTCGCGCCTTCAATTTTGCAGACGCAACAAGGACATCCATCGAGTACGAATAGTTGTATCTCTGCGCCGTGCTCAACGCGCGCTTTTCCTATAACCTCAGCCGATCGATGATGCTGAACTATATGACTGGCCTCTAACGGAGGAAATCAAACATCATTATTCCGTTAGCGACTTTACGTTCAAGATCGACTGTGAGCTTTAACAAGAATCCTTTTCATGGAATTTTTTTTTTTAAATGGAAGAATTTTTAATGGAGAATCCATCGCAGGATACCTGACCAAAAATCTCAATTTCAGGGAGGGCCTGCAGCCTGACAGTTGAAATTTATGTCGGCACGACCAGAATCAAAAATCGATACATTACGCGGCGCAGATAGGGCTATGTCTTGTCTTTTCTTGCCGACACAGCCAGATAAAGTTTCAATAATCAGGCCGCAAGAATAAATCGACTGACTTAATGGCTACGGCATTCTTCAATCGTAAATAAACGCCTAATCTTGCCTCCGATTGTAACGACTAAATTATAATAATTTAACACAATTAATTCATAAAGAATTTCTTGGAATTTGTACTTGAGGGTATGTTAGGTCATATTTTTTTGTTTTTGTTAGAACCAAGTGTTCGATATTATATCAAATGACGTAGTCACTGAATCAGTCTATTTTCCTTGTAAATTTCCTGAGAATTCGGCTTCTAATTTTCTTCAGTACTTGGATCCTAAGTTTTCCCGCCGTAGAGGGAAATTTTTACGTTAGCATACAATTTCTTTAATACCCCGAGATTGTAATTTCCTCCCTGGTTACAATCTCATTCTCACCTTAATCTTGCTCCAACATAATCTTTATTCGCTTACTTTTTCGGCCCTCCTTTACGTTAAAAATCCTTGGAAGCTCGTCCTGAGAATGACTGAAACTCATCCTTTTCTCGCATTCTGTTTTCAGAACGGGGAAATTGCACTACCCGACGGATGTGTGCGGGCCTTTGTTTGAGGAGGAGTTAGAGTTCTGGGGCTTAGATTCGAACCAAGTCGAGCCTTGTTGCTGGATGACCTACACGCAGGTGAGTTTTCAATTTTCAAACTTGCTTGGATGTTTTGCGGCGACGTGACCCTGAGAAATGTGACATCGTGGCTGCCCGCGGGAGCGCTTGTCGATAATCTTGACTCGAGTGTGGCGTGACTCGCTTTCCTCATATTTTTCCACGCATTACCGTCACACTCCGGAATCTCTCATAAGCCGCCACTGATAACAGTAGCGAGGGGTTGCTTAAATCACCTGCGGGAGGGGAGGGGCGTGTAAACACACGTTACAAGGGTGGAATGTACCGAGGGAATCCTGTGATGGAGCAAGGGGTACCAAAGAGACAGCACGTTGTCATGTATTTTGAATATGACGTCCAAAAACGTGAATTTGCCATCGAGGAAATGATAAAACAGGGAGTTTTTCTCTCTCCCTCTCTCCTCTCTGTCTTTTTCTTGCTACCTCTCATTTATAATTTTTTTTTTTTTTTTTTTTTTTTTTTTTTTTTTTTTTTATGTCGCGAAAGCACGTTCATGAGCTAATGAACGATTAAATCTTAGAATAAATAAGCGACAAAGGTCTGACACGGTGGTTTTTGCACGGAATGATATTAGTCGTAGTGAACTAGCTCGTAAATCGTGACCGACACTTTCGGCAGACTCAACCGTACCTCTGACAGGTGCAACTATTCTTATATCTACTGCCAAAATAAGCCAGGAATTTAGTTGGGATTGTGATACTTTTTTTCCGTGTTAATTATTGATAAAATGAGAAATATCAGACCATGTCCCCTAAACTGTGCCCAATTTATCACAAATCGTTCGTTTTCGTCACTTATTAAAGCAAGGTCGTAAAGGAGTGTGACGTCATGGAGCCAATTAGTTATTTTCCATTTTTCATTTTAGATTTTTAGAAACTTTAACGTTTTTAATTCTTGGAATAGTATATTTTTCCTTTCAACGTGCATTTAGAATCAACATTTCAACCAAAAGTTTATGCTACTAGACCCTTGAGTCAACACGACTCACAAGGTCCCATTGGGATTGAAAATTAGTATAAAAAATGTTACCCTTTCGTTTAAACGAGCAGCATCGTTGAAAATTCTAGGAGTGTTGGCGGAGGCGCATAGTGGATCGAGTCGATCATTGAGGTAGGATATAAAATGTTTGACTAAAACTGCAAATTTTGATGTTTATTATGTCACACTCTAAATTTCAGGAGAGCTACCTGCAGAAAATTTTACGACGAAACTGATGGAACCGCTTTTAGAACCTCGAAGTGCCGTATAAACGGAGTCGTAAGCGTTTAAAGTTTCCAAAGTTTGTCCGACTTCGGCTATTGACTCGATCCACTGTGGAGCGTGCACCTTGTGCGTCATATTATCGGGATTAATCCATTCCCGGCGTGATCACTTTGTTTGGAGCTATCGCACTGGGTTCAGTGCTTGACACGCTTATTTCACGAGGTTGTGTTTACTCTTCTCACAACTATTCTCTCTGTTTGGCTCTTATTGTCTCCTTCCCGTCCCTCAAGCATATTCAAACATATTCATGATATACATTTCAAGCATATTCAAGCATATGTGAACTTTCAACCGATCCGAATAGTGCTTTAGATAGAACAAGGATTTCAGTGAGAAAAAACTATGGCCTATAAACCAATTAGTGGTTCATATGGAACACCACTAATAGTAGCAAAGGCATCTTATACTTGATGATCCAGACGACCTGTCCTCTACCTCTATCCGGAGAACCACTTAAAGTCGAGTTTTTAGGGCCAGGCCCGCCATAAGGGTGAAGATACTGGGTCAAAGGCCCGGGCCCTGGTACCTACTATGGACACAGTATCCCCACCCTTGTGGAGGGCCTGGCCCTTAAAACTCGATTTTCAATGGTTCTCCGGATAGAGATAGTGGACGGGTGGTCTAGATCACCCGGTATAATAATAGCGCATATATACCTAAGTGATGGTACGAGATACCTTAGCATGGTTCATAGACCAAGAATCATTTCTTCATTCACGACCATTAGTGGTGCTCCTTATGAACCACTAATTGGTTTATAAGGCCATAGAGTTTTCTCCGTGTTGTATGGTACAGCACTTTAGGAAGAGTGAAGGGCTCAAATATCGTCACCTTCCAGCCAAAGTATCACAAGCGCCATGCTGCGTTTCAAAATTTCCACCGCCATTTTATCTTTTTACAGAGCAACTACTCAACGGAGCTGTCCGACATTGTCACTGAATTTTCTTTGTGCTGCTGATAAAATGCAGTAAAATTTTCAAACAGATGCGACCAACTGCAACTAAGGTGTGCATTGCAAACATCGTGTATATTGATGCTTTCCCATAGGTTCAAATAGCAGATCAATCAATTTATCCCAAAGCACGCCACGCCACTGATACTGCAATCTTCAACAAGGAATGGTTTTGCCACAGGCACAGCATAACCGTTGAAGTCAGAAATAGTGCTCTTGCCATTCACAAGCTGGGCCATTGTCGTTTCGATAAGAATCGTAATTGAACTGGATTACATTTTTTATGGAAGACTCTTAGCATTTTTTGCCTCCATCCCCATTCCCCATGCTTTTAAAAGTAAGAGCCTGCTATTCTTATTCGCGCCCCCCTCCCCCCTCCAGCGACGGAGGCAGGTGAATTCAGCATCAGTCTGCAATATTAGTTAACATAAAATGACGCGAAAAATACTTTTGTAGTTTCCAAAGGAATATATTATAAAGGAGATCCGGGATCTAAGATATCGAAAATTTCGTTTAAACAGAAGTTGCACACTTGGACGCAATGGAGGTGTCGGGTGCAGAAAAAGCATTTCTCAGTTACGATGTTTCAGAATCTTCACCTCTACTTTATGTTTTAGAGAGGAAACTTTTCGGTGGATTTTCTGAAATTTCCTGTATTCAGCGTTGTAAAATCCTAAAGAATACTCGGTTTAAGTTTCAATGAATCACATTATAATGAAAATGGATTAAACGTTAGCGGAGATTTTGAGACGTCGCAACTAAGAAATACCCTTTCTGCAATCAGCGTTTCTTTTAAACACGGCAATGCTTAGCTCTTAGTCACACTTCTGAAGCCCTCAAAAAGCTGTCGTACTTTAATGTCATCTAAATTTTGGAGTCAGAATGATGAAGTTCATATTTGTAATTACACAATTCACATAAAATACAGGGTCCAGGCTATAAAAAACATATGCATTAAAATTGCTACATTTCGGGGCCAAATAGCTCCCATCGTCGGCCGAGAAAAAGTAAAACCGAGCTATAAAAACACACACAAAGAAAAATACACCTAAAAGTGTAATTATACATTTATACGGGGGAAGAAGCAACCAGACAAACGGCGGATTGATGGATCTAAGGTCTATTTGCCTAATATACAATGAACACAAAATACAGGGCTAAGGTTAAAAAAAATCATGAATTAAAATTGGGACGTTTCAGGGCTAAATAGCTCCCGCATCTTCAGCCAAAAAAAAAATTAAACCAAGCTTTAAAAAAAGACACAGAGAATAAAACACACTTAAAAATTTAATTATACATATGTACAGCGGAAGTAGTGACGAGACAAACGTTTTATCGATGGAACTACGATCCATTTGCCCGCAAATTTTTGTCACATAATAGGTATCATTAACGGTATGGCGAATGAAATGAAGGGTTCATCACTTCCACTGCCCAATTCGGTGGTGCGGCATAGACCTACCTGATTGATGTGGGCGATTTATCAGGTCAGTCTTCGTTCTGAGCGAGGTTGGGTAGGTAAGTTCCATCTTCCAATCTGACAACAAGGGGAGAGCTTGATTAATCGTCGCATTTCCTACGCAAAACAATGTAAAGAGGGCTATTATCATCGCTTAATCGGACACGGTTGCAGAATTGCAGAAAGAAATAATCGCATTTTCAATGTTAACATCATCTACTACACTCATGTGTCACCTTTTTCACACTCCCCATTGTTGCCCAAATTCTGTAATTTTCTCTCTCTCTCCCCCCTCTCTCTCTCCCCCCCTCTCTCTCTCTGGGAATAAGTAAGAAGCTGGGTAAATGGATATAACGCACCTGTCACCTTCCACCTGGTTTGTTTCCTTGGAATCGCACATAATTTCTGCTGTTCTCGCTGCGTTCTGCGTTTTGCATTTAGATTTATTCATTCGTTTGTTTCTGCACAAAAAGGCGAATACAAATATGGCAAGTTATACATTAATATTTAAATACATTTATCAAGTAAAAAAAATAATTAAATCACATAGTCGTAGGTCAAACGAAGACTCAATCCTGCGTGTACTCATTAATTTCATAGTACTCGTCGTTAATTAGATATTCTTTTAATTTCGCTTTAAAATTTTTTTCCCCATAAATTTTCTTTAAATCATCTGGGGGTTTCAAGAAGAAGGCATGGCCCCTTCTTAAAGTGGGGCTACCCTTCATTGCATCACTCTGCGTTCGTTAAAAGAAAAATGTCTTTTGTCATACGCGGTGAAAAATTTCTCAGGGGTCGAAGGAAAGCTTTTCATATGCCGAGGCATAAGAAATGAAGCCGAGGCATAAGTTCTTACGATCAGCCACCCTTTTTTTTTTTTTTTTTTTTTTTTTTTTTTTTTCTTTTTCTTTTGAACGGTCGAATTTAGAGGAAAATATCATAGGACCTTTTTTGAAGGGCGTAAAATTTCTTATTCGCTTACTACAACCATGTCACGAAACAATTGCTTGGGGATAAAACTATGGGTTTCAAATGAAGCCGCGGCAAAAATTCTTACGTTCAGCGATCTTTCTTCTCATTTTTCTTTTAGACCGTCGATTTTACAGGAAAATGTCAAAGTACCTTTTGCAAAGGGCGTAAAATTGTGCATCCGTGTAGATCATTAGTTCTAGGAAACAGTCAATACCTTTAGGGAAGAAACTTCTGCTAGGTCATGGAGACCGTTCTCAGAGAAATTTTTCGGCCGAGCTGTATGAAGTGCTTTTTCTTCAGTGCGCTGGAATTTTTGAGTCATTGACAATCTCTTGGAAATGGTGACTTCATATC